AGAAGGGATGGCACTAGAATATACTGAGGGAAACTCAACCCTGGGAACCCACAGAAGCAGCCAAGGCCGCCAATGTTCAGAAATCAAACTCAGGGAGTATTCCACAGTTCTGTGAAAGGACCCTTGGAAATGGCAGGGGAAGGTCTCCTTATAGTATATTCACATAATAGATAGGTGGACAGATTAGATGAAGGGCAATAACTCTACGACCTAATACTTATTAAAATAAAAGGAACATTACTTGCACATTGGAATGTGTCAAGACCCAAAAGGTATTAATCATGAAATGGGAAATTACACACACAAGACAATAATAACTTTTAACTGTAATACATTCATGCCCAACAAGGCAAGATACAAAACTGCAAACTTCACATGTTCAATTAGAATAAAAAATACATGGAAAAGCCCTATAACAAGCTTATTTTAGTAAGTCACCTGGGCTATTTGTAGCCACTGTACCTACTGTTCTTGGGCAATGCCCATTCCAGCTTAACCGTTAGAGAACTAAACTGAGCTCAGCCCATGAACTGGACAGATACAATTTGGCCCTTTTCAGTTAAAATTATGGGTCCAGTACAGTTCAAACTATGGATGTCAGTGCTTCTTTGTCATGGGAAACTTGACTTCTTTACTGCTGTGGCTGTAAGGGACATAGCTCATTCTGACTAAAGGCCAGCCAGAAAGGAGGGGAGGGAACAAATTGAATCTCCTTGTGGGTCACTCAACAAGAGGCCCACTGGCACCAGGCCCCATTCTATTCGCTCCCTCTGCTTAAGCCAATGATACACTGGTTGGCTGATGTCTGCAGGGGCCCCTCACCAAACATAGGCATTTTATTGTAATGACTTTGCCTCTTTGGATGTGCTTGGGTGGGATAACGACACTGACACAGTATTCCTTCTGTCTTGGCTCTAAGACAAGTGAGTGTGTGCCGCTCTCTCCACTGGGAAAAAGCGCCTCAGCTCTCCATTGACTAACCTCCCACTTCCTGGTCCCATTCATGCCACAGCTTCTCCCTCAACTTCTCCACACCCAGATGTTCAGAGGCAGGTTACTTTAGGCCTGCAAAACAGAGGCACTTCTGGGACTTCAGCAGTAAACAGGACCATGCCACACCAAAGCCAGTCCAGTCTGACTAGAGTTAATATTATAATCTTCAAGGCATGTAACTCTACAGATTCTATATACAGAAAAAAGAGATTTCACACCCACAAGTAACATGAAATAGAAAAATAATAAATAGGTTTCTGGCTTTTCTTTCACATACATATACATACACAAGCACCTTTTGTGTTAAGCCAGATAGAGTCACATAAAAAGCAGTTAATACATTTTTTAAACAACATCTCAAAACTCGTATCAAATAATACTGAATTTGATGAATTTTATAAAAAAAACTCATAAATGACCCATTGGTTTCACTATTTTTAAGCTACTAACGTTTTGTATATTTTTATTTATGAGGTTTCTCACTTTCATTAAAGTACTTGCTTTAGATTTCCTGAAAATGGGATTAACGGTTGTTGTTGTTTTAATTCTACTTTTAGGTCTAAGGTGATGGTTCAGAATCAGATGTGCTCACAATAATGGATGCTACTTCCACTGACCCTGGTTGAAGAGGCTCCAGTGATACCTGAATAACAACTTTAGTTTCAGGAGGCAATCCTTCCAGTTGCTCAGGCTTCTTAAACATTTGATGACACCGGGTCTTGTGCTCCATTTTCTCCTTGAAAGTTAGAAACTGCAGCCGGCATTTGGAACACTGATGAATAAACTTTTCCCAGTGTCCTCTATAATGATACATGTAGGGTGCTGCCAGTTTGAAAATTTTGAGACAAAATGGACAAAGCAGGTTCTTAGTGTTTGCATGCCAGGTTCTGAAATGTGTTTCCACGTCAGCAAAGGCCGACGATCTGTAATTGCAAACCTGGCACGCGTAGGGCATTTCGCCAGGCTTATGATTGTCCTTCATGTGCTGTAAGAGAACCTGATCTGTTTCAAATGACAATTCACAAATTCTACAGACCGCGGAGGGCTCCTGCGCTGTGTGCACACTTTCAATGTGACACTGCAGCTGGAAGGGAGTGGGAAACTGCCGGTGGCAATGCTGGCAGGTGGTGTGGTTTTTCCAGTTGTCATCTCCCTGCTTCTCAAGTTCCAAATGGTGCTTCACGTGATTCATAAACTTGACATTTTTTAGAACTTTCCTGCAGCTGAAGCATTTAAAGGTTGTGTGAGTCTTCTGTTCTGGCTGCCTATCTCCTGGATGTTGTCCATAGTAAAAGTCATGAAGTAACACAATCAGATTTCCTTTCTTGAGATCGTCAGTTTTGTTTTGACTTGCTAGGCTCAAAAGATCTGTTTTTGTCCGTCTATTTTCTCCAACAGGATTTATAGTCTTGAAATGGACTTTGTCCTTTGGAAAAGCTGCTGGGAAAAGTGCTCCGTTCTGAATAGGGCTTAATGAGGTATGAACACCATTTGAGGGTGTGCTTCGCTGAGGAATCATTGTATGAAAGATTCCTGAAGAGGACACAACTGAAGACTGTCCCCCTGTGATTTTGTCACTGAGTTTAGGCCTTTTTGGATTTATGCTGTTTACTTCAGAAGTGCAAAGTCGCTTTGATGCACCAGGACTTTTACTCAGACCTCCGACAGAAAGTGCTGATCCCACTGGATGCTGCAATGAACTTGTGAATGTAATCAAAGGAGAACATAACTCTGAAGAGCTATTAGGCACAACTTGTGGTGAATTACTTCTATAATCAGGTTCAGACAAAGGCTCAATAATAATAGGACTATCTGTTAATCTTGATTCAGGCTCAGGAATTGGCAAGACAGTCACTGCTTCGGATGTACGGGTCACATGACTTACAGGCTGCAATTTGTGAGCAGTATCTTTTCTGAGCTTACCATACTTTTTTCTCCTTGAACACGAACCCGGGGTGACTCTGTTCAAGATGTGGGAAACGACTGGTTTTGCATGTGAAGTCACCCCAACGAAGATCAACTCAGCATCTTCATTTACATGTTCCACCCCAACAAAGATCAGCTCAGCATCTTCATCTACTTGTTTGTTTTCTTCTCTGCTCTTCTGTGGTCCTGGCTCTTGTTTTTCCTCACATACCACATATGGTGGTCCCATTTTCTAACTTTTTTTATTCTTGAAGGGTGTTGCCACAAGTCCTAATGTTTCCTTTATGTGAACTGCCACCTAAGCACAAACAACACTACACATCAGTAAGTACAGAAAAAAATGTATCTCATTTAATTTTCTCCAAAACTCAAGCTAGTTATAAACATCCATTATTTTACCGATAAGGACACTGAGACTCAAAGAGAATAAATGACAGCTTAAAACTATGATTACAAGTCTGTGAGACTCTAGAACAGCCATGGGCAAACTACGGCCCGCGGGCCGGATCCGGCCCGTTCGGCTGTTCTATCCGGCCTGCGGAGCCAAAAGAGCGGAGGGTTCTCTTGCTCTCCCCTCCGCTCATTCACGAGCAGCAGTGTTAACATGGCAACGTCGGGAAACACGGCCGCAACTCCTTCTTCTGAGTCCAGTTTAAGAACCCATTGTGGCCCTCGAGTCAAAAAGTTTGCCCACCCCTGCTCTAGAATCATAATCATAGATTTGTCCTATGCTGATTATGATCTCTTCTGTTGCCTCTACCAGCAAATGCCAATGGCAATCCCCTAGCGGTGGCAATCAAAAATGTTCTATGGGAGAACTTCTTCCTTGATCTAACCTTCTTCGCAGGATCACTTCCACATTCCTAGTAACTACCTTCTAGGTAATTCTACATTTATGCTCTAACATCCTCTCTATAAAAAAAAAAATCTAAATCAAAAGTATTAATTTCTTCATAATACCATAAAACTCAGAAGATAATGTGACAAGTAATATGACCATCAGAATTATCTCAGGATGGACTTCTAAAGGCTAGAAAAGTTTATGATTCAGCTAAAGTTATATGTAGGGTTTGGAAACAGAGCTAGCACTAAAATGTGTGATTCCTGAATTCTGGTTCTGTGTTCTTCCCAACAGAACTCTGATCTAGTGCATGTCTATTTCTGATGATGGTGCTATTAATTGCTTAGTCTCTAAGGATCAAAGAGCCTCACTGGATTCATTTTTATTCTCCTTCTACTTTATAAAACCTGTTCTAACCTCCCCTAGCTCCCATCAATTTAATCACAGAAATGTATTAGTGATTCTAAGTAACTTTTCAGAGCACTGGTCAGGTCATTCTAACTACATTTCATTTCCATTCTTATTAAAGCACCTACTCCCAACTTCTAGGTTTAGGCCCACTGGTTACTTCATGTCTGTACATCTGTAATAAGCTTCAAATTGTTCTGTCTTCTCTCTCTAGCCTTCAAATTATATAGCACATTGCCACCATCTGAATCTTAAAATACCACTGTAGTTATATTATTCCTTTATTCCTAAATGGTTGGGTGTTTTTTTTTTTAATCCACGCCTGACAATTTTTAAATGTGACATATACATACAATGGAATATTATTCAGTCATAAAAAGGAAACTGTCACATGCTACAACATGCATGATCATTGAAGACATGTGGTAAATGAAATAGGCCAGCCACAAAAAAGACAAGTACTGTATGATTCTACTGATATGAAGTATGTAAAGTAATCAAAGAAACAGAAAAGATACAAATTGTAGAATAGTAGGATGAATACCAGGATCTAGGGAGAGAGTGAAAAGGGGAGTTTATTGTTTAATGAGTAGAGTTTCAATTTTGCAACATGAAAAAGTTCCAGAGAGCTGTTTCAAAAGACTGTGAATATACTTAACATTTAAAAATGGTTAAGGTGGTAAAATTTATGTTATAGGGTTTTTAGCACATTAAAAAATAATTCAACAATGGGCAAAGGATGTCAATAGACATTTCTTCAAAGAAGATATATATACATAGCCAATACCCCCAAAAAATACTGCTCAACATGTTTAGTCATTAGGAAAATGTAAATCATAATTAGATCTGCTTCACACCCACTACTGGCTACAATAAAAAAGAGGAACAATAATAAGTGTTGCAGAAGATGCAGGGAATTTGGAATCCTCATATATTGCTGGTGCAATTACTGGAAAATGGCGCAGCCACTTTGGAAAACAGTTGGCAGTGTCTCAATAATTAAATATAGTTACTTTTTTTTTTTAATTCAGAGAGAGGAAGGGAGAGAGAGAGAAAAAAAATTCAATGACGAGAGGGACTCATGGATTGGCTGCCTCATGCGTACCCCCTACCAGGGATGGAGCCCACAACCCAGGCAAGTGCCCTGACCAGGAATAGAACTGTGACCTCCTGGTGCATAGGTCAATGCTCAACCACTTAGCCACACCAGCCAGGCAAAATACAGAGTTATCATATGGTCCAGGAATTTTACTCCTAGGTCTATACTGCAAAGAATTGAAAACACAAATCCACACAAAAACTTGCACAACAATGTTCAAACAACATTATTCATAATAGCCACAGAGTGCTAACAATTCAAATGTTCACTAATTGATGGGTGCATATACAAACTGTGGTAATACAATGGAATATTATTCAGCCATTAAAACTAATAAAGCACCATGATACATATATGATATGAATGAACCCTGTAAACATGCTAAGTGAATAAAACCAGACACAAAAGTCCATATAGTTTATGATTCCACTTACAATACATAAAACATCTAGAAAAGGCAAATCCATACAGACAGAAATAAACTAGTGGTTATCATAGATGGGAGAGGAGGGGAGAAATAAGGAAGGAAAGTAAGTTGAACTAAAAGAAAAATAAAATATCAGGTCCCAATCCCTGAAACATGTATATGTTACGTGATTTGGAAAAAGGATCTTTGCAGATGTGATTAAGTTATGGGTTCTGAAATGGAGAGAATATCCTGGATTACACAAATGGCCCGCAATGCCATATATGTATGTCCTTCAATTTTAAACCCTAACGAGTGAATTTTACCATATGTGAATTATAACTCAATTAAAGAAAAAAATGCCTATTACCTCTCCCCCCGACATCCTAGCAACTGGTACTGAGACAGGCTAGGAAGCCAGGACAAGTGGACAGGGAAACTGAAACAAACTGGCCCAACAATTTACAGCCAGATACAGAAGCTCACCTCCTTAGAGTTAACATCTAGGCCTCAGTTGTATTTCAGCTCCAGGCCCAGAAAAGCAGCAAAACCAGGTGGGGGATGCCAGGACCAACTACAATGACTAAGGACCCCCTGCCCTGAACTAACTAATCAGTAGAGACCATGACACTGAAAGAACACACTTGGAAAACTGATGAATATTCTGCTGAAAACCTTCCCTGACGCCTCCCCTAAGATTCCTGCTTGCAAGAGAGATAAAAGCCTCAAGGCAAAGGACTTAGTGTTGGCTCTCCCCCGCAGAGTACTCCCTTGTCTTTCTCTTCCCCTACAGGCATGCATCCCTAAATTGTAAGGGACCCCACAAGGCTTGCAACCAGGGAGCAATGGGCAGTGGCAGCTTGTCCTGAGCTAACCCCCTGACCCTGTCCCCAAGGCTCTGTTTTCTCTGACTACTTAGTGAGCCAAAGCAGCCCAGCCTAGGCTCATTTCCCCACCTAGTCCCTCTCCTTCTTCTATCCTAGGCCCTTCCTTGTTTCACTGTCCCCAGCTTTAATAACCGTCCTCTAAAAATCACCTGGACTTGTATTGTGAAATCTTTTCTGCATAAAGTCAAGAACCCACACACTACCAGTCGGTCCTAGGCAGACCCACTCAGGGCCAGGTCCCCTTTCCAGTAACGATACCAAATTCAAAGTCCCTTTATTTGGAAAATCAGGGGTAGAAGAAGAAATTCATAAAAGAAATGGGCTTAGAAAACAAGTTATAGAGATAAAGGAAGGGCCCTTGGAGCTTGGGAGCTAGGAAGGTAATGGTAATGTACCTTGTGGGTGGGGCGAGGGCAAAAGAGGAAGGGAAAGGCGTGGGCATGCTCTGGGAAGGGAGAGTGTGCTGGGTCTTCCATCCCAGGAGAAAAGGTTGCAACAGTATACAAATAGGAGTGGTAGCCAGCCTCCAAGATGGGCCCACATGAATCCCACCTCCTGGCATTCACTCTCTTGCGTAGCCCTCTCCCACACTATCACAGGGTTTGCCTGCGGGACTAAGCAAATACGGTGCACCGAACTTTTGAAAAAGAGTCTGCACTTCTCTTGGGTGAAAGCTCACTCTTGAATCACTCACTCTGGGGGAAGCCAGCTGTCATGACATGAGCAGCCTCATGGAGAGGCCCACAGAGTGAGGAACTGAAGCTCCTTGCCTACAGCCCAGTGAGTGAGCTTAGACGAAAATCATCTGACAAAAGTCAAGTTCGCGGACAGACACAAAAACTTGACTACAATCTCATGAGAGACCCTGAGCTAGAACCACCCTGCTAAGGCACTCTGGATTCCAGACCTTCAGAAACTATGATAAGATTTATTTTACGCTAGCAAGTGCTGAGATACACAGTGTTACACAGCAACAGATAACTCATTAAAAAATGGATCATAACTTACCTGTAAACGTGACTACTGGCATAAAAAAACTTTAGACGGCCTCCCCTATCCAGCCACATTCAAATACAGAAATAAAGCCCGTATGGAAAAGGGTATAGAATTAAACAAACTAACCCATTGTAATCATTTTAACCAATATATAGTCACCTTAAGTGAACCACTTATTACTTTAATATATTAGCTGAAATCTTACAGTATGTGTTATCAGTCCATTTTAGACGTATTCCACGCTAAAAGAAAATAGATTTACATAGCTTAAGATCTATGGTACTCCTACTTTTCTTTTTCCTTTCAAGGGATTTCCCCCCCACCCCCCCACCCCCGCCTTCCCCTTGTTTAAGGAAGCAGTTTAGAAGATTCCAAAATTACCTAAATCAATGATCGACCTGAATTTATCACACATATGCAGATTCAAATCACATACACTCAGGAAACACTGTCTAAATAATGTTTTTAGCACAAAAGGGAATAAGAGAAAAACTGAAGGAAAAAAAGATACCGTCTTGGTCCTCGTGATGAAGACGTCCCTCCTCTTGCCTTGGATGTGCACTGAAACTTCTAAGAACTTGCGATATTCCAGGCAGGAGAAGGTCTCATCCTTGAGGCAACCAGAGAAAGGGATTAAGGTTATTTACACGTTACAGA